GATGGGTAGGGCGACGGGGAAGGGGCGGGACGAAGGGGACACCGCGGTCGGCCGCAAATCCCGGCAGAGCGTGGGCTCGCGGGGCGGGACCTCACCCCGAGTGGACTCGGGCCCGGGCGGGGCCTCGGCTCGCAGGGCGGAGCCTCGGCTTGGGGAGTGGACTCGGGCCTGGGCGGGGCCTCGGCTCGAAGGGCGGAGCCTAGGCTTGGGGAGTGGACTCGGGCCTGGGCGGAGCCTCGGCTCAATAGACGAAGTTGGCGCTGGGCTGTGGGTCTCCACCGGCTAGACCCTCCTAGCTTCCCCACCCTCTTCCCCAGCTCTGGCCGCCAGCCTCCTTCCTAACCCAGTCCCAGTGCACCCCTCTGGGGCCACTGGACCGTGGCCCAGGGATAGTTGGAGCCACTGAAGGGCAGCACAGAAGACAGGCCGCGCGGCGACGGAGGCCTGAGATACTGCCACGGGGAACTGCAGTCGCCCTCTGGCCTTGGGATCCCCACCAGGGAGTAGAAATGGAGACCAGACCCTCAATCTTCTATGCCTGCGACTCACAGCAGCGCTCTTCTTCCTGGGGATTAATTGAATTAACATGGCAGCCTTCAAGATCTTGCCCAAACTTGCAGCCGTCCTCACACTTAAACAATCAAGGGACTTAATCCAGGGGCGACCTGCAAGCTTCAAGTGAGTGCTCCGGCTTTGTGAGGGAAACCCAACCATTTCCCCCAGGACAAGATGGGAGGAACGAACCCTGAACCCTGGCTTCTAGGGAGGCAGCCTCGGGGTCCGAAGACCTGAAGGATGCATGGAAATTGCTGAGCGGTCGGATTACCCCAGTGTCCCCCATGGCCAGAACCACTGCTCCAACCTAGTGACATAGCTGGCTCTGGCTGTGCTGGCAAAAGGGAAGGTGAGGAAGGGGTGAAGGAGCCAAGCAGGCAAGGAACTGGAATGGCCAGAGCTTCACTATTCAGGGGACTCAGTGTGCCACTCAGGAGGAACTGGCAGGAGGACAGGGGCCGAGTAAGCCCTCAGATAATGGGGGTCAGTGAGCTGCCTATGGGGCTTGAGGCCTGGGCTTGGAGGCACTCAGCCACCCAGACCAGGATCAAGTCCAGGTTTCCAAAGTTTCCTTCAATAAAGTTGTAGAGAATTCACAGTATATCTCTTAAAAACGTACAAGAGCCAGGTGCAGTGGTGCAAGCCTGTAATCCCAGCAGCTCTGGAGGCTGAGGCAGGAAGACTGTAAGTTCAGCCTCAGCAACAGCAAGGTGCTTAACTCAGTAAGACCCTGTCTCTAAATAAAATACAAAATAGGGCTAGGGATGTGGCTCAGTAGTCGAGTGCCTTGAATTCAATAAAAAAAATTTTAAAAATTGCCATAGAAATTTCTTCTTGGATACTTTTCCAATAGTCATCTATCTCTACAGTTAGTAATAGTTATTGCTATATCTTTCAATTGATACAAGGAGACCACTTATCCATCTTATCAGTGCTGATTCTTACCAGGTGATCTACTGTCTGCACAGATGATCTGATCACCTTAAATAGTTCCTGTGCAGTCCACCTTCTTTTGGGCTGGGATCTCTAATGTGAAGTTAGCCAGTGCAGACGCTGTTGATAGAAATCAGCTTCATGATTTATACACAGATGCTTTGGGGGCTTTGCATAGTCCCCCCAAGACCTCACGCCTTCCCTTGTAAAGCAGTGATGAGTACTACTCTCAATATTTAAACAATAGTGCTTTATTTTAAAAAAGGTTAGTTTAAATGCATACAAAATTGCTGTGTAAATTGATCTCAAAAATATTTCTATAGGTAAGATCTCAGCAAGAGCAATTATCTAGTAGAGAAAGTGTATGTTTAGATTTGGACAACAAAATAAAATGGGATTCAAAAGAGTGACACCCTGTAGATCTCCTGGCCCACACCCCACCATCAGGTGGCACCTAGCACTAAGCAGCACTTTGACCCAAACACACAGGGCTTACACTGCTTGAAAATGCTTTTAGTAACTTTTCCCATAACTGTCAAGATAACCCAGATCATCAACTGCCTTCCAGAGGTCTGGAACTGCTCGTGATAATGTGAGGGGCAAAGCAGGCGGGAAAACGGAGTGACCTCTTGCAAAACACCTTCATAACCAGCGTTTTGACCATCACATCTTAATTTTTTTTCCCCGGCCAAAACAAAACAAGCCCTCCCCCCAAATCACTTTCTCTCATCAAACACTTTCTTCAGTTCAACTCCTCCTGTTGCAGCAAAATGAAAAGACTGAGCTGGCTTGCTCCCTCCGTAACCGTCATCTCTTGTCCCATCCCTCTGGGGTAAACTCTCCTGGCGCTGGGAGAAGTGGAGAGAAAGTGTCTGCTGAAGAGTCCCTCTGGCAGCAGGAGGAATGGGAAGGGCAGGAAAGCTAAGGCCCCACGCACAGCAGGGCACCCAGTGTAACCATGGTGGACACCTGTCTAGCAGCCTGCAGGACAGACTTAAAATGCCTTTCATTCTAACCACAAGATGAAGGAAAGATGATGGCTGAAAATAGGTGAGACAGTCATAATGACCCCAATTAACCATTGCTGAGGTGGGTTAATTTCACACTTGCAGTTACAGAAATACATGAAAGTGCAGTATAAAATTTCTAAAAATTGGATTCTTTAAAAATTTTTTCTACTTTAGGTCAGAAAAAATAGTTTTCTGACTCTCACTGTGCCAAGAAGCTTGCAGCAGCACAAAGCTGGGGTTCGCTGCTGCGCTCTCCACAATGCAGCCCAGCAGCGTCTCCAGCGCCTACAGGACAAGTGTCCACAGGGGAGTTCCCTGCACAGGTGTTAAAAATGACCTAGCATTAGAATCCAAAGTGCTCTTCAAACCCACGCCTAAAGCCTGTTTTTAAAAGTTGTTCAAGTGTAAACCTATCTTTTTAGGTGACTTCTGTTTTCTACTTGGTTAATAGATAAATGTGCAGATTAACAGTATTGAACTATAGCAGCAAAACTGGTTTTAGGTGTTTGTTGTGCACAAATATAAAATGAAGGAAGAGTCTCCATGTGGAGCGACTGCACAGCTTTCTGTCACAGGCACACGTCTACCACCAAGGAACACTCCTGGTAAATCTGAATGTTCTAGATGTCAAGAGTGCTCATCAATGACTAATCAGGCCAACTAAATCAAGGGAATTCAATATTAATTACACACTCTGATACTTGGAAATCAATTCTAATATTAGTGGTTAGTTAAGGAAGAAAACAAAAGTGAGCGTTTACCTCATGAAGTATAAAGTATAACATAGCAGTGAAATACAAATGTTAAAAGTACTTCATACAAAACACACCAATAGTTTAAAAAAATTAAATTCTCAGGCACAGGTATTGTAAATGTGGATGGGCACCCTTCTAAGGATCTTATGGAAAGTTGCGATGTGGCATTCATCAGGAATGTGTTCTTCTTTGTATCCAAGAGTGTTTTCTGGAAAAGTAAAACAGATTTAAGAAGGAATGAAGCAATGCTTGCTGCTTTGGTCACAGACAATACTATTTCTTTGCACAACAAAGGCCACAGATTGAGCAAAAGGATGGGCTTACAAGACCCTCTGAGAGTTATCTAAATCAAGATGTCAATACGCGCTGAGCGTGGGGGAAGCACTCCTATAATTCTAGCAGCTCAGGAGGCTGAGGAAGGAGGACCACGAGTTCAAAACCAGCCTGGGTAACTTACAAAGGCCCTAAGCAACTTAGCAAGACCTCGTCTCAAAATAAAATGTTAAAAGGGCTGGTGGTGTGGCTCAGTGATTTAAGTGCCCCTGGGTTCAATCCCATACCAAAAAAAAAAAAAAAAAAGGCATTTCTGAGACGCTTGGAACGTGGAAGCACTGCAAAACTGAAAAATACCCAGAAATGAAAATGTCCACGACCTCATAAAGTTTCTACAAGGGAAGCAGCCAGACCAGAGACCACAAGAAAGCACTGTCATTTCCTCCTGCTCAAGGGAGTCACTCCTGGAGTCCTGGCTTCTCTCCATGAGTCCTCGCTCTGGTCAGGTGCAACCCTGGTCACACAGAGCCAGCTTTTGGAGGCAAGAGCCCCATTCTAGTGAGGTGCCCGTAGGCTAGGCACGTCAGACCCTTGCAGCAGTACTGACTTGGGATTCACAGAGGTTCCCCAGGTGATGAGAGGGCAGCCGCACCCAGCCAGGTTCGTGTGGACAGACACTGCCTTTACAGGAACTTGTCAAGCCAGTCATACTGTCTTTTAATACACATGCTGCTCAACAAACCTTCCCCAGGAAGCTGCAGAAGGCAGGGGCACTGCTTTAGTGACCAGTGACCCAGTAAGTCCTCCTGACCCTCCGTAGCCACCCATCCTTCTGCTGTGGAGGTCTGGGGAATCCTTGCTTTCTGTCTTACCTACACACGTTTCAGCTAATGTTCTGGTTTGAATGTGAGGGGTCTCCCAGAAGCTCACGAGAGACAGTGCAAGAGGGTTCAGAGGAGAAATGACTGGGTTGATTGGTGAATCAGTCCCCTCCCTGATAGGGATCAACTGAGTGGTCATGGAGGTGGGGTGTGGCTGGAGGAGATGGATCCCTGGGGGCATGGCTTTAGAGTATATATTTGTATCTGGTAAGTGGAGACCTCTCTTTCTGCTTCCTGAGCACTGTGAGCTGCTTCCCTTGGCCACGCTCTACTGCCATGATGTCCTGCCCTACCTTGAGCCCAGAGAAATGGAGCTGGCCTTCTATGGACTAAGATTTCTGAACCGTGAGCCCATTTAACTTTTCCTTCTCTACAGTTTTTGTTGTTGGGTCCTTTTAGTCACAGCAGTGAGAAGCTGAATGAACAGCTAAACTCCATGATTTGCCTCATGCCTCCAGGATGAGGTCCTGAGACTGCAGCTTTCTTCCGAAGACCTCTCCCACCTCAAACTCATTCATGCCCTGCCTGTGCCATCTGTTTGTCTCCATGTGATTTTCTTTTTGGGACCCTTGAGCCTTTACCTGATGTTGCCTATCATTCCTTTCCTCTGTGAGCTGATGGGAGTGAACCTCTGCCTTTCTAGTCCTGAGGCCCCTGGTGTCTGCAGGATCCTATTTACTAGTTACTGATAGTTGAACAGAGCTGCCTTGAAAACCTAGAGGCAGCCATCCTCGGCAAGGGGACCTTGGTCTATCTGCGTGGCTCCCACACCATGGCCCAGCCATCCTTAGCACGGGCACCTCAATCTATCTGCATGGCATCTTTACTTTGGATCTACACGAGCTGTCTTAACAACACTTAACACTTTTTATATCCTTAAAGACAGATTATCAACATTAACAAATTTCTAATTGTATGACTAATGAAAGTATTTACAAATTTTCTTCTGAGTCACATTTGTAAGCTCAGAAAATATTAAACATCTTTACTAGATGGCAGGCGGCAGTGCACTTTAGAAGCACTCCTTTCTCATTTAGGGCTAATGATGTTATCCATGTAAGACTTAAGGAGGAGCCTGTCATATTCAAGGTGAAACAACAGTGAGATCCCTCAGAAACAGGTGCCTGCTTTCCAGGCTGACGGACACCAGGGACTCTGAAAGGTTACAATGCACACGTCACCTCACACGTGGTGCCCGAGCGCCCCGCTGTCCCCGTCACCGCCTTGCATCTGCATCTGCATCTGCGCCTGCATCCTCGCAATCATCTCTTGCATACGGCGGAGCTAGGGAGACAGTGCAAGCCAGACCCGTGATTGTTCAGTCTTTCAACACTAGACGTGTTAAGACAGGAGGAATTCTTACAAACCAACAAAAGGACTGACAGTGTAACAGAAAACCATGTAAATAATAAAAGAACACAATTCAAGGAAGATGCAGATATTATCAACAGAGCAGTAACTTAAGAAAAATAAGGCAATGAGATATTTTTTAACCTAAAAGGTGGGTCAATGGGGTATGGGAAAGAGTATGTTCCTCTGAAGGGCAAGGAGGTCAGAGCTATGAAGAGTGGACTTGTCCGTCTTGATCCTTACTGATTTTCATCACTAAAACATTTACTCAAATTTTCTTCAGGTAACTTTGTGGTGATGGCTGCAACATTTAACTATTTGATCCACACTGGGTTGATTTACCCAAAGATGCGAGTCTTCTGTTTTCCAAAGGCCAGTCTGTTGTGGCCAAACCACTACTGAACACCTGCACTCCACTCTCCAGCAGGCCTGGGGCACCTTTGCCAAAGGACATGCTGACATCCCTCATTTACTTCTAGATGCCATGTGGGTGGCCAAGGCTCATCTGGGCCTCTGGACCAGTAAGGCAAGCCTCTTGTCATTAGTCCAGTTTTTAGAGAGCTTCCCGAACCTCCCATGCGTATTCTTCAAAGCAAACATGAGGATGACTGAATCGGCCCTCACTCGAGGGAGATCAATGAACACAGAGAGCCAGGCCACAGGCTCTGACAGGGCTGAAGTCAGAGGTCAACTTAGAGCACTGTAACCCTGCACTGTCTTCCCACCTACAAACCTGCACGCCTATCATAATCTTTAAAAATCTTCTCAGTAAAGTTTTTCAATTTCTTTCCCCAGAAATCCTACTTATTTTTTCTCAATTTTTTGATAACTAATGCCAGTGGCAGTTTTGTTTTATTTTCTAGTTACTATTAATGTATGGAAAGAATTATTTTTAAACATTTCGTAAAAATCAGTCACATTATTATATTGTTTCCATGCTTTTTAGGTAAATTACTAGATGCGATTAAATACATAAAATGGGTATATTATACATTAAATTATAACAAGCTAATTACAGATGATGTTTGGATATAAACCAAACAGCTGCAGTTGTAAGAAGAGCATTTTCTACTTACTTCAGCTTCCTTTTCCAGCAAGATCTGATCTTTATTCATGTCCTCGTTCTCCACTTTCCTAAGAGTGGAAAGAAATGACAATGGTATCATTACAAGAAGCACAGTGGGTTGCTTTTATTATAGATAACCAAGGAAAAAATTCACTTTAGAATTCTGAGAAACACCTACTTGAATTTATATATTTTTATCATTTTTAAAAATTAAAGACATAAAAAAAGGGAACAGGAAGAAGAAAAGCATAAACGCCAGGAGGCGAGAGGCTCAGGACTCCCTGCCCCAAGCTGGAGTGATGACACGTCTCCTCTCAAGAACACTGCTGCAGAGGTGCAAGGTCAGTCAGTGTGTTGAAGGCGCAGGACATGAGCAGGTCAGAACTGGCCCACGGGATGGAGGCCACTCCCTCAGTACACAGAGGCCCAGAGCCCAGTAGGAGACACCTCTCCACCGCTCCTCCTGCCTCTAGAACTTTGATTAATAATTGGTTCCCACGTCAACACGATAAATGAGATCTTAATGTATACCTCATGCATGCTCACAATTCATCGTTAAAAAGAACATATTTTAGATGAACTAGATACACGAAATATTTAACAACTGCTATATTTCCACTTATTTGTTCATTAAACTCTGTTCTAAGCAGAAAACAGAGCTGCTTTAGAAGTACCACCAATATAAGCTCTGGCCTTCAGAGAGAGAGAGAGAGAGGGAGGGAGGGAGGAAGCGTGTGTGCACTGCTGGGGATTCAATGCAGGGCTCTGGGCATGTTAGGCAAGTGCCCTATCACTGAGCTACATCCCCAGCTCTTTTTAATTTTCATTTTGAGACAAGGTGTTGCTACATTGCCCAGACTGGCCTTGAATTCAGGGTATTCCTCAGTCTCCCAAGTAGCTGGGATTAGGGGTGTGTGCCCAGCCATTTTTTCCTCTCCCTTCAAGGCTAGAAAAGCATGATTTGATTAAACTAGCAGCAACTCCACTGAATAATTTTTTTTTTTTTTGGTACCAGGGATTGAACTCAGGGGGCACTTGACCACTGAGCCACATCCCCAGCCCTGTTTTATTTAGAGGGAGTGTCTTGCTGAGTTGCTTAGCACTGCACTTTTGCTGAGACTGGCTCTGAACTTATGATCCTCCTGTCTCAGCCTCCCCAGCTGCGGGGATGACAGGTGTGCACCACCGCACCTGGCTTTCCCTTGAACAGTGTTTAAGTAGGAAGCTCATGTTGCTTAGTGAAAGCTGAGACACACGGGGGGGAACAGCACTTCAGGGGAGACAGTGGGATCACCTGCCGCCTCTCTTGAGCCTCTCGGAACGGAAGTTTTCATAGTGAAGGTCCTGGGTCACCTCCTGGAGGTCCTGCATGTGAGTGCTGGAAGAGAAAAGGCATACACAAAAGTAGCTCATGCCAGCCTCAGGGGGACCACACCCCGCTCACAGCGCCCTGTGGACCATGTGGTAAGGGTGCACAAGGAAACTGCTCACCCAGCACAACAGCACCCTTAGACCAGTCGTAAAGGTGCATAGGTTGCTGGAATTTCCCAAGGAAACATGGCTGTAGAAATATCTAGTGAGGTGTGGCTCTCCTCTGCTACCACAGTCAACAGTGCACCAACACCCAAGAGGCCTGGTGTGCCCCGTACTGTCCTCTGCCATAGGGAATGCTAGTCCCTGCAGGAGTTCATGGTCACTGGAGAGACCAGATGCAGAGAGGTAGAGAGTTTTAGGTGGCTGATGTCCAAAGTAGAATGCACATTCTAAAAGATCTTTAGGAGGAACAGGCAATTGCTCTTTTATCAGAGTAAGATCCCCTATTTTTCGTATGGTGAATGGTACTTTGGCCCAGTTTTTCTAAGCGCTCAGAGCAGACATTCCCACTCAGTCCTGTTTACGCAGTATGGGGGTCACTCTGAGAACACACATCAGTGCTGAGGTGGGGATTGTCTCGCTCTGTGCTCAGGGTCCATGCCCCACAACGGGGGTCCACAGAACCCAGGGCTGGACGAGTGTTCTCTGACGGCTCACAGTGCATCGAATCATTCTAAAGACAGCTGGAGGGTCACAGCTCACTGGCTTCCACTTGCTAAAAACTGCTATGCTGAGACACAGGAGCACCCACAGCAACTTTCAACTCACCCAAACCCCTCTGAAGCCTTCGAATAGACACAGATCTTAAAAAAAACAGAAGGCGGCACCAAGAAGGGGTGACCTGGAAATGCTGAGCGCTGCTGTCCTGCACATGCTTCCACACAAGAGCTCAAATATCACACTGCACCCACAAGCAGGTACAAGTACACGTTAACAAAAAGAACTGCATCTCCGGCAAGATGCTTTCATTCAGGAATAACAGTAATGGACATAGGCGTAAAGCCTATTTCTCTAGTCAAGTGTACTGTACTTGTCAAATGAGAAGAAAGCGCAATACTCAGGGGGCCACCTAGTATAACTCAGGAGCACTGGGTGCCAGCTGGGTCTGGGGTGCTGCCCAACACCCACCAGGAGCCTGACCATCTCCCTGCCAGAGCTGAGGACACGCAACCATAGTTTAGGTCCAGTCTCCCAATAGCATTAGAGATCCGGAGATGGTGAAGAGCACAATGGATAGGTACTTAGATACATGTCACTGGAGAGGCGAGGACAGTGTGTCTGAGCCCCCAGAGGTCTCAGGACCAAGCCGCAGCAGCCCCCAAAACCACCGCCCTCCAGAGGATACGCAGTGTGGATTGCGGCTGCAGCTAGCGGGGGCTGTGTGCACCCACCAGGGAAGCACTGCCCCCTGGCCCACCTTGCCAGGGGACACCCAGGCCTTACATGAGCATCGTCCGCAGCTTCAGAAAGTCGTTGTGCTCGGGGTTCTCCACCTCCACCACACCCCACGGGTAGAGGCGCCCTCGGACCTTCTTGCCTTTGGCTTCGATCAGCTGGTTGGACCCCACCACAGAGAACGGGATGCTGGCCTGGAAAGTGACACGGCGGACAGGCTGTAGCAGGGAGCCCAGCGTTCGCTGAGAACACAGGAACACCAGCAGAGACCTGTCCGTCCACTGTCTACGACACGTTCACCTGGGAGCTAAGGGCACACATGCTTCATCTGACATTTCCCACGTGAGACAATCAGGAAACAAACCTGCAATGACACTTCCACGCCTGCAGTGGAAGCCATGTCTAACATATTGAAAGCAAATGCGTACTGTAATTGGCCCAACCCAGACACCTTCTGAAGGCAAGCCTGCCAGATCTGGCCCTCTGCCCACTCTCTCCTCTCACTGCAGGGACCACAGGACACAGGAGCTGCTATCAATGTGCCCTGCAGCCACCACTTGCCTTGAGGAGTCTTGTCTGCTCTTTAAAATCTTCATCTTCATCTGACTCTGCATCAGGTAAGTGATAGATTTTGATGTTATGTTCTTCAATTTCATCCAGAATCTGAATGGAAGACAAAACCAGGTCAAGTCTAATTCATCACATTAGAAATATATCAACATTATCCAAATGTCAATAAGAACCAGAATGGTTAAAGTTATTCTGAAACCATTTTATCAACATTTAAAATGGTCCTTCACACCTATCAACCAGGCCTACAGGAGAGGAGAGACGGGGCTGGAACTGAACCAGCAGTCCCCCCTCAGTCTCAGTGAAGAACCAGCACCCTGTGGCCACTGTGTGCTGGGCACGGCACCAGATGCCACAGGCCTGCACCACCATGGCCAAGTACACAGGAAGCAGCCTGCCTCCTCGTGGCTGGACTGGCTCTTTAATTTCAGAAGGATACAAATCCTTCTGTGGCTTGGGTCTTGTTATCACAGATCTTGCTCTCAACACACCATCTTTCCCAACTTAACTCCAGAGAAGACTCACCTCTGTACACCCTATACTTGACATCTTCCCCTTTCCACAAATCCCTATTCCTAAGTGGGACGAACTGAGCAGTCGGCATGGACTTGCTCTCCTCTTTGGTCCAGCCCTAAAGATCCCACTTGTGACTCCACGATGGTCTCCTAAGGCCAAGGCTCACACTGGACAGATGAGATGTGAGAAAGACTGAACAAGAAGACCATTTAAATTGGAGGAGAGGCACCAGGAAGCGATGTGGGGGTGTCTACAGGCAGAGAAGCAGGGAGGGCGGAGCTTAGCAGTGTAAAGTGGACTCCTGGCTGCACAGGAAGAGGCGAGATCCCTGGAAGGACGCAGAAGCCAGAGATGATGTGATCCTAGGAGAACCAAGGACACATCCTGGAGGGATGGCGGTCAGCGAGCAGGGAGGTAAGGCAGGCCGAGAGCACAGCAAGCAGGCAGCCAAAGCCAGGGAGGGAGGCTGCCAAAGCCACGGGGCAGGGCTGGAGAAGGGCTGCAAGAGAGTCCACCACAGCTGGGGGAGGACCAGAGGACGGGCAGAGGTGCAGGAACTCATCTCATCTCAGGCCCTCAAGGTTTCAGGCACAGAACTAGGGATGAGAGCCAAAGCAATCTAACCCTGACACCCCTCTCCTCCAGCTAAAGGAAAGTTAACACAACAATATAGAAAAGGTGTCAATTCCTTCACTAAAAATGCTCACTGTTAAGCAAAAAACATCTAAGTTTTCAGGCGCTCTCCCAAAAGCCCAAACATTTCCTAAGAGACTGGTAGGTACTTCAGATGATACGGAAAAGGGCAACAGCACTGACCACATACAGCTTACAATCTTACTGTGGCAAAAACATAAAGTCAAACTAGGAGAGATTATTTGAACACGCCAATATCTACAAATCCTGAGACTACCTGAAGTCCATGAGAGGGCACCAAGAAGACACCAGTGGACACTGCACACAGGACAGGACCTGCAGCACTCAAGGAGATGAAATCAAACAAGCTCCCTAGTCTGAGGTGGGCAGAGCAGACTCACCCTGGTCACCCACCCATCACCGCTGGGGTGAGCACACAGGGTGCTTTGGGAAAGTAAACTGTTGCTTATTTGGGGGGAAATTTGCCATCTTATGAAAATTTAAGTTTTCACATTCATTTCCCAAGAATTCATCTGATTTATACAACAGAACAACAAACATAACTGAGTTCCTACTATGTGTCAAGTGCTATTCTGAATTCTTGGAATACATTAAAGAACAAAGCAAAGAATCTTTATCTCAGGGATCAGGGTTGGGGATAAGGAGAAGCCACGGTACAAAATGCACAGGGCCTTGCGTAGTGTGTGGGTGCTGTAGAAGTGCGCAGGCGGCATCTGAGAGCAACGCAGGCACCTGGGAGAACATTCTGGGCAGAAGGTGTTCTCTGGGTCTGAGGAATGGGAAGTGGCAAAGGAACAGGAAATTTGGTCAGAGATAAAAGGGGGCCAGAGCAAAACAAAAAATAAGCCAAATATCCATCAACAGGGAACTGGCAAAACCAACCACAGCATGTTCCTAAGTGCAGTTCTATACATCCAGTAAGAACCGTGGGAAAGCCATAGATAGTGAAGTTTAAAACATCCACTGGCTGAACAGTGTTCTGGAGGGACCACCGTTGACTACTAGCTGTTTCTGTGGAGAAATAAAAGGACTCTCAGGTCAAAGGTTAGCACTTGTAAGGTGTTTGGATTTTCTTAAGGACCACAGTCAGAAAAAGATAAATAATTTTTAAAAACATATATAGTCAACAAAGAGGCTTCAAGAGATACAGAGGAGAGGGCACTAAACAGGGCACCAGAGAAACACGGGGGCAGCGTCACAGAAGCTGGGTGCTGGGTGCTGGGCCCTGGAAGGCAGAAGCTGACGGGGCACTGTCCCTTCCACGGAGGATCCGTCCTGCTCGGACACACCCTGGTGTGGAAGCATTGGAGAGAATGCAAGAGCTCCACCTTCAGCCCAACACTGGGGGGTCTCCTTGCACCTAGCTACCTGCCACTCACCAAGGGCATTTTTACCTAAGAAAATCTAATAAACTGAAATGTGATACTTTGCTGAAGGCAAAATAAAACAAAACAAAAACAGCAAGCTTTAGGTGTGCTTTGAGTCCTGTCCCCAAGACTCAGGGCAGATGCTAGAGACTCCTCCTGCTCCCACTCCCAGGCCCCCGGCACCCACTGTCCCAAGCAGCAGCCAGGTCCAGGTGGCACTCACCCTCTTCTTCAACCGCTCCCGCTCCTTCAGAGTGAGAGTGTCGGCCTTTGCAATGACAGGCACGATGTTCACCTTGTTGTGTATTGCTTTCATGAAGGCCACGTCTAAGGGCTTCAGCCTGCAGGAAAGAACAGGGAGATCACAACATTTTTTCTCTCAAAATCATCTCAATTCTTGTACTGCAACACACAGTCTGAGGGTGACTGCACACTTGTGCAGTGAGCCGAGTTTCCATGGTGAACGTTATTTACCCATGTCCAAAAGGTGAGATGAAGTAGAAGCAGCAGTGCACCCTGTTATCAATGATGTGCCGCCTATTCAGTCCACTCTCGTCATGCAGGTAGCGCTCAAACTGCTCGTCAATGTAGGAGATGATCGTCTTGAAACTGAAATGCAGACAGAAGCCAGCAGCCCCTAACTTCAAAGGGAAACAAGTCTTTCTCCCCCTTCCACCAAAGATACCAACCCAAAAATTCACTTTTAAATCAAGAGCACAAGACTTGACTCCTAGATTTGCCAACGGAGGTTTCGGGAAACTACCAAGTGTAAACTCCCTTCAGTACCAGGAGTCAACAGCTCGAGAGGAACATGTTCAGTGGGGTCTGAGGGTGGCCCGTGATGCCAGAGTCTGCTGACCCTCGCACAGTGTGATGAAGAGGGGCTGAGAAGCTGAGCAAGCAGGAGCAGGAGGCATGGGGTCCCAGGCAGGATGATGTCACCAGCTCAACAGGACAGCACACCCACAGGACACTGAGACGGGAGACCCCTAATACAGGAGTCAGGCTTAGAGGAGCGAGAGTCGAGGGCGTCTGCACAACCAAGGTGGATTCTCCACACAGCACAGCCCAGGGCACACCATGCTCCTCCTCCTGTGCCTCACCTCCCTGTTGGTGAAGACAAAGCCCACCAGCACCCACCCACAGGCACAACTTTGGCAACCTGCAAACAGTGTCCCGCTTTAAATATGGAAAGGTACATGGTGACCTCTTATCCACTGCCCACATTCAACTCAAGGCCCTGCCCTGGTGACGGCTGGAGTATTGCTCTTGCACCTCAGATCCCACTAGGTTGCACAGAGAGAAACCTCACTCCCTAGAAACATCCTCAGAAGGTTGAAAGTTTAAAAGTCAGCATTAAATAGTTTTAAGTCTGCACTGAATGTTTTAAACTGCCTTACTGCTTTATGAGATAGAGCTACCGGAGCCACTAACTTAACCACCACTCCCTAACGGCATCTGTGAATGCGGGCACAGAAGGAAGACGAGCTGGCAGTGCATGGTGCAGGACCCCTGGGCTATGAGCCCTGTGTGGCTGCATACCAGTCCCTGCAGTTGATGGCGTCCCCATAGCCAGGAGTGTCCACCACTGTAAGGCGCAGCTTGACTCCACGCTCTTCAATCTCAACAGTGGAAGCCTCAATTTGGACAGTTCTTTCAATTTTCTCTAAAACAGAAAGAAATTTAATAAAGAAAATACCTTAAAAGCTAAGCCATTATGCAAAGAGGAGAAATTACCTGTTACCAATGTTATTTTAAGTAATTTGGAAGATCACTCAGTCTCTTTGGAGGCAGGGGCTCAGAGGTAATGCAGAGACTGTCAAACAGTCCCAGAGTCAGCAAGGGAAATGGAATTAAGATTGTCTTCCCTCCTTGGGAAGGTTAAAAACACCAACACGGGCCAGGTGCAGAGGCACACATGTATAACCCTGCTATTCTTGAAGCTGAGGCAGGCTGCAAATTCGAAGCCAGCCTCAGCAACTTAGTGACACCCTATTCCAGAGCAAGACTTAAATAAAAACCACTGGGGATGCAGCTTAGTGGCAGAATGCCCCCAGGTTCAATGTCCAGCGGTGGGGTGTGTAGGAGGGGAGGGGAAGCAAGAGGATGGCATGTTCAAGGACAGCCTGGGAAACTTAGCAAGAATCTGTCTTTAAAAAAAAGTGGGGGTGGGGGGATGACTCAGGGACTAACTCAGTGGCAGAGAGCTTATTTTATTTAGCATGTGCAAGGCCCTGGGCTCAATCCTTGCACCACACTACATAGACAAATAGAGACAATATTAAAAATGGTTAATTTGGGATAAGTAAGAGTCGGTGAGAGGGCTGCATCCTTCTTGTGGCTGCCCAGGACTCAGGCTCTGACTGTGGGCTCCTCTGTTCACTGAACAAGCAGTGATGGATGCTGCAGCCATCACTGAACATTCAGATGCAAACAAGTCAGACACCCGCTGCTACAGGGACTATCCACATATGCAGCATTTTAAAAAAATATTTATTTTTTAGGTGCAGATGAACACAACACAATGCCTTTATTTTTATATGGTGCTGAGGATGGAACCTGGACCCGCCCGTGCTAGGCCAGCCCTCTACCGCTGAGCCACAACCCCCACCCCATCATACGAAGCATTTTAATGACATAAAACTTTCACTTGGTCCTCTTATCCAACATGGGCAGGAACCGTCTTTTACATTTACAGGAGGGACACATGGGTGTGTGTCAAGCACCTACACAGCCAAGGTAGCAAGGCCTCAGATGCAGGAAGCTATCCCTAGGTGGAGTTCTCCTTGTGTTCCAAGAAAACATTAGAACAGAACATCAAAACAGAGTTAAAGGTGAAGTGTTCAGCACATTCACAGAACTACAGTCAGCACAGAGGAACTTTTTTTTTACCTGCGGCTCCAGGTATGATTCTTTCTGGGTAGAGATCAGTCAGGAACAGGCTGTTGATGAGAGTCGACTTTCCTAGACCCGATTCACCTTTAAATGGAAAGCAGAGCCTGGTCAGGACCTCCTCCACAGGCCTGCCCAGTGTGCCACAGGCTTCTGGAGGGTGAGCACGGGGCAGTCCCAGACTGGTGCCTCAGGACCACCACCCTGTTCTCCACACCGTGACCAGGAACCAGGCACCACCACCCCTCAGGCCCACAGAGGGGGAAACCCGGGGAAACCCAGGCTCAGGGACAGGAACTTGCCCAGCTCAGGGAGCTATCCAGTTTGGATTGAGGTCTATGGGATTTGAGAACTGATTAGAAACCCAATTTCACCTCTTCACAAATTTATGGACTATACTTTGGAGTCGTTATTTCTTTTGTGATAAACAGAATGCAAAGCAGGTTTCTGACAGGGAGCTCTGCTGACCCTCACAGAGCACTTGAGAAGACTCTGACACACCTGAACAACAGTGCCCCTGCACTCCTGCTGCAGGGCTGGCCACCTGGCCGGTTCCCTGGCACACACTCCCATGTGACCTCCTCCGGTCTGACACACACCCCCTTGCTGCCTCCCACCTGGCTTCCTGAGCCGCTTTGCTTGAGAGACAGTACCAGTTCAGACAGTACACGCCCTCTAGAACGCCCAGGTTAAGGAGCCCTCTTCAGCTACTCAGAATGTTTGACATTCAACTCCAAAAAAATACAAAATACCAAAAATTAAATTCTGTACTGGAAGGAAGTTCAAATCCAATCGTTCATCACTGGTTGTCACCCAAGGCATCATTCTGCAAGATGCGTGCTTCTGAGCTTGGCATGACACGTACCAGTGCTGGACCTTCCCAGGCCCTTGTTGACCTGGCCTCTGCTCAGTCCCACACAGCATGGGAAAGGTACAGGTCTATTTTAAAAATCATTACTGGGAAAATCAAGGGAAAAGGTGAACTAGAAATGTGTACATACACAGGATCTGGACTGTGTTGTACATTGCACTTTCCAAAGGAGACAAGGACAGAGCTAGAGTCATGTGCTCAATATACCCAAATAAAACCCTACACCACCAACTAAATGGCCAACAGTTACTCTTAGCAAACCGTTTGTTGATCCTTCTACGTCACGTTCCATGTGAAGAGATGTTATCAATATTTACTGAGAGGCACAGTTCCAGGCATGGGGACAGGACAGGGAATGGGACAGAGCAGTCCCTGCTCACAGAGCCTTGCAGTTCAGTGGGGCAGACGATGAACAAACAGAACCACCACCAACAGGCGCCCAGCAGAGGAAGGCACAGCTGAGAAGGGATGGTGCCATGGAAACGAGGTCTGAGCAGGAGCCCAAGCTGCTGCTCTGGGAAATGCTGCTGTGGAGACCTTCACTTGAGGGAGTGTGTGCATTCCCCTGGGCACAGTGGCAGACATCTGCTCCTGGGCCAAGAGCATCATGCTGCTGCTGGGCCAGCGGGAGTGACCTCACTCCACCCTGGCCACGAGCTGTCACAACAGGGGAAACAAGACACATCAGGAAAGATTTAGATCAAGGTAGGCCCATCGCCATCCAAAAACAATCACAAGACAGTGGGGTCCAGCAGTGTCATGTTCACGTACAGAAAAAAGCAAAGGCTGGCCGGTGGAGGCGCTCCCCGTCTACAGAACGCTCCTGTCTGCACTAACCAGGACACAGCAGCCCTGGGCCAGGCGGCACCATGAAGAAGACACAGAGAGGAAGGAGTCCAGCCTTTCAGTCCCACCAGGCAAAACATCACAAAAGTTTTAGATTTAAATCTTTCAATCTTAAGGAATCTCTCTTCATGTTAGTTTCTCGATTTTTGACCAAAATGATTACCACGTGGCTTTCTCGAACAATACGCCATGCCTTTCCCAGGAGGCTGTTCCTGCCACACCACAGCCCCTACATGAGCTGGGTGCAGGGGCAACGGGGTGCAGGCCCACAGCTGCGTGAGCTTCTTCAGAAGCAACTCCCCGCGTGCAACCTGCAGCCACACCAGCCTCCGGCTGCTCCAGGTCCGTCTCCATGTCCTCACGCTGCCTCCAGTGCTCCCTCCAAAATCCTCTTGTGAATTTGGTCATATTAACTATTGATTTTGGTCACATTAACTATTGATTTGGTCACATTAACCTATTGATTTTTTCATCAGGCAAAATTTGGCAATACACTTTATCTTTTTAATCTCCCTTTTCTGTTTTTAAAATTTATTTCTTACATACGTGACAATAGAGGAGTGCATTACACTCATAATTATCCATTCACAGCACAATTTTCCGTAACTCTGTATATAAAGTATGTTCACACCAAATTATGCCATTCTACATGAGCTCTCTTATTTTTTTTTGCATTACAATTCTTAATACACCTTTATACCACAAATTTTCATATCTGTTTGTACACAAGGTGTGTTGACACCAAATTCACATCTTCGTACATGTATTTTGTATAATGATGACCGTCTCCTTCCACTATCCTTGCTGTTCTCCTTCTCCCCCCCACCCCTATTCCCTATCTAGCGGTAATTTTCCTCCCATGCTCTCCTCTCTCTACCCTACTTTGAGTCACCCCCCCTTATATCAGAGAAAACATTCAGCATTTGTTTTTTAGAATTGGCTAACTTCACATTAATCTTCTCTAATGTCATCCACTTCCCTGCAAATGCCATGATCTTATTCTTTTTTAGTGCTGAGTAATATTCCATTGAGTATAAATGCCACATTTTCTTTTAATCCATTCATCCACTGAAGGATATCTAGTAGACTCCACAGTTTAGCTATTGTGAATCATGCTACTATAAACATTGATGTGGCTGTAACCCTGTAGTATTCTGTTTTTAGGTCCTTTGGGTATAGTCCGAGAAAAGGAGTAGCTGGGTCAAATGGTGGTTCCATTCCCAGCTTTCCAAGGAATCTCCATATGCTTTCCAAATTGGCTGCACTCATTTACAGTCTCACCAGCAATGTATGAGTTTACCTCTCCCCGCCCCCCCCCATACTCACCAACACTGTTGTCTGTCTTCATAATGGCTGCCATTCTTACTGGGGTGAGATGGTATCTTAGAATAGTTTTGATTTGCATTTCTCTGACTGCTAGAGATGGTGAGCATTTTTTTGCATATTTATTGATTGATTGTATATCCTCTTCTGAGAAGGGTCTGTTCAGGTCCTTGGCCCATTTATTGATCTGATTATTTGTTTTTTTGGTGCTTATCTTGTAGAGCTCTTCATATACCCTAGAGATTAGAGCTCTATCTGATGTGTGAGGGGTAAAAATTTGTTCCCAGGATGTAGGCTCCCTGTTCACCTCACAGATTATTTCTTTTGCTAAGAAAAGACTTTTAGTTTGAATTCATCCCATTTTTGATTCTTGGTTTTAATTCTTATGCTATAGGCGTCTTATTAAGGAAATTGGGGCCTGCCCCAATTGATGATGATTAGGGCCTACTTTTTCTTCTATTAGACGCAGAGTCTCTGGTTTAATTCCTAGATCCTTGATCCATTTTGAGTTAACTTTTGTGCATGGTGATTCAATTTCACTTTGTTGCATATGGATTTCCAGTTTTCCCAGCACCATTTGTTGAAGATGGTATCCTTTCTCCAGTGCATGCTTTTAGCACCTTTGTCTAACGTAAGATAGTTGTGATTTTGTGGGTTAGTCTCTGTGTCCTTTATTCTGTACCATTGGGAATGCCTTCAGTTTTTCTCTGTTTTAGAATGATGTTGGCCTGAGCCTTAGTGTAGATAGCCTTTACAATGTTGAGGTAAGTTCCTGTTATCCCTAGTTTTAGTGTTTTGAACATGAAGGGTGCTGTATTTTGTCAAATGCTTTTTCTGCATCTATCGAGATGATCATATGGTTCTTATCTTTAAGTCTATTGATGTGACCAATTACATTTATTGATTTCCATATTTGAACCAACCCTGCATCCCTGGGATGGATCCCACTTGATCATGGTGCACAATATTTTTGATATGTTTTTGAATTTGATTTGCCAGAATTTTATTGAGGATATTTACATCTATGTTCATTAGAGATATTGGTCTGAAGTTTTATTTCTTTGAGGTGTCTTTGTCTGGTTTTGGAATCAGGGTGATATTGGCCTTGTAGAATTAATTTGGAAGTACTCCCTCTTTTTCTATTTCCTGAAATAGATTTAAGAGTATTGTTATTAGTTCTTCTTTAAAGGTCTTGTAAAACTAGGCTGTATATTCGTCTGGTCCTGGGCTTTTCTTGGTTGGTAGTCTTTTGATGGCTTCTTCTATTTCCTCACTTGATATTGGTCTGTTTAGGTTGTTTATATCTTCCTGACTCAATCTGGGTAGCTCATATGCCTTAAGGAATTTATTGATGCCTTTACTATCTTCTGTTTTATTAGAGTATAAGGTTTCAAAATAATTTCTAATTATCTTCTGTATTTCTGTAGTATCTGTTGTGATATTGTCTTTTTCATCCCATATGCTAATAATTTGGGTTCTCTCTTCTTCTCTTTGTTAACATGGTTAAGGGTCTGTCAATCTTATTTATTGTTTCAAAGAACCAACTTTTAGTTGTGTCAATTTTTTCAATTGTTTGTTTCAATTTCATTGATTTCAGCTCTGATTTTAATTATCGCTTGCCTTCTACTGCTTTTGATGCTGGTTTGTTCTTCTTTTTCTAGGGCTTTGAGATTAGTATGAGGTCATTTACTTGATGGCTTTTTCTTCTTTTAAGGAATGAACTCCATGCAATGAATTTTCCCCTTAGTACTGCCTTCACAGTGTTCCAGAGATTTCAATATGTTGTGTCTACGTTCTCATTTACCTCTAAGAATTTTTAAAATTTCCTCCTTGATGTCTTCTGTAACCCATTGTTCATTCAGTAGCATATTGTTCATTCTCCATGTGATGTAGGAATTTTTCTTCCTTATTAGATCGTTGATTTCCAATTTCATTCCATTATGATCGGATAAAATCCCTGTGGCATAATATATGGTCTATTTTTTAGAAGGATCCATATGCTGCTGAGAAGAAAGTATATCCACTTGATGTTGGTTGATATATTCTA